ATGCTAATTTATGCTAATTGTTGACAGCTAATTTGCATTTTAAGTAGCGGTAATGGCTACAGCTACTGGACGGTAGTTGTATATTTTGAGTAAAGTTTTATTGGTGTTAGTTGTCTATGGGGATTACGGCAATAGTTCATTGTGTCTTCCCGGTAGAATCGATTTTAATAAACTCCTAAAAGCATTTAAAGGTTTTCACACCTCTTAAAGAAGGCTCACTTATCTGTAAATTTAGTTCTGAAGAAAAACCTCCACCTTAAATGTGCACTGTAGTGTGATTAAGTAATTACCATCATCTTACCCTAACTACATAACAGCCCAACTACCCCAGAGACGTGATTGCCAGTTTGTCGTTACCTTAATTGGCGGTTTAACGACCAAACTAGCAATTTGAGGTCTGCTTAAATGGGCATAAAAAAGAAAACAAAATCTGGAATATTTAAACGTTGACGGATTTGAAGAATCTGGGACGAGCTTTTGTGTAATTGTTTATGGTTTATTGTGTTATATTTATGTTGGATATATAGTCATTACTTTAATATAAATTTATTATAATATTCGTATAGGGCGTTATATTTTCTGTATAGTTGTAACATTTTCCTCTTTTTTTTTTGCATAGTAACAGTTGGATCACATATACTCGCTAGCGCGCAGGACTCGTAATTCTGTGGCGCGGGTTCGATTCCCGCACCAGGCAGAAACAAATGGGCAAAGTTTCTGTCATCCTGAATGTCTCTGTTACCTAGCAGTAAATAGGTACCTGGGAATTAGTCAGCTGTCGCGGGCTGCTTCCTGGGGGGAGGTGTGTGTGGGGTGTGGGAAAAAAGTAGTTAGGAAACAGTTGATTGACAGTTGAGAGGCGGAACCAAAGAGCCAGAGCTCAACCCCCGCAAGTACAACTAGGTAAGTATACACACACACACACACACACACACACACACACACACATTCACACACACACACTCACACACACACACACACACACACACACACACACACACACACACACACACACACACACACACACACACACACACACATTCACACACACACACACACTCACACACACACACACACACACACACATTCACACACACACACTCACACACACACACACACACACACACACACACACACACACACACACACACACACACAAACCTTCAACAAACCTTCAAACAAACAAACAAACCTAAACAAACAAACCTAACAAACCTTCTGGAATTCTATGATAAAATAACGAGGATAAGACAGGACAGAGATGGTTGGGCAGACTGCATATTTCTGGACTGCCAAAAAGCCTTTGATACAGTACCGCACATGAGACTGCTGTTCAAGCTCGAGAGGCAGGCGGGGGTGGGGGGAAAGGTCCTAGAATGGATAAGGAACTACCTAACAGGAAGGAGCCAAAGAGTTACGGTAAGGGGCGAGAAGTCGGACTGGCGAACAGTAACAAGTGGAGTACCACAAGGATCGGTGCTGGGACCAATTCTATTCTTGTGTATGTTAACGACATGTTTACAGGCGTAGAGTCCTACATGTCGATGTTTGCGGATGATGCAAAGTTGATGAGAAGAGTTGTGACAGATGAGGATTGCAGGATCCTCCAAGAGGACCTGAACAGATTGCAGAGATGGTCAGAGAAATGGCTACTAGAATTCAACACGAGCAAATGTAAAGTTATGGAAATGGGACTAGGAGATAGGAGACCAAAGGGACAGTACACAATGAAGGGGAACAGCCTACCTGTAACGACGCGTGAAAGAGACCTGGGGGTGGACGTAACACCTAATCTATCTCCTGAGGCACATATTAATAGGATAACGACAGCAGCGTACTCTACACTGGCAAAAGTTAGAACATCATTCAGAAACCTAAGTAAGGAGGCATTTAGGGCGCTTTACACTGCCTACGTAAGGCCAGTCTTAGAGTATGCCGCCTCATCATGGAGTCCCCATCTGAAGAAGCATATAATGAAACTGGAAAAGGTTCAGAGGTTTGCAACGAGACTCGTCCCAGAGCTACGAGGGATGGGGTATGAAGAGCGCCTGAGGGAACTGTGCCTTACGACACTAGAAAGAAGAAGGGAGAGGGGGGACATGATAGGAACGTATAAGATACTCAGAGGAATTGACAGAGTGGACATAGACGAAATGTTCACACGGAATAGTAACAGAACGAGAGGACATGGATGGAAGCTTGAAACTCAGATGAGTCACAGAGATGTAAGGAAGTTTTCTTTTAGCGTGAGAGTAGTGGGGAAATGGAATGCACTTCAGGAACAGGTTGTGGAAGCAAATACTATTCATAATTTTAAAACCAGGTATGATAGGGAAATGGGACAGGAGTCATTGCTGTAAACAACCGATGCTCGAAAGGCGGGATCCAAGAGTCAATGCTCGATCCTGCAAGCACATATAGGTGAGTACATATAGGTGAGTACACACACACACACACACACACACACGTTAAGTCGACAATCTAAGCTTCAATTGGTTGGTCCGACAAGGATTTGTTTGGTTCTTCTTGACTCCTTAAATTCTTGAATAGCCTCGTATATCCCCGTGTGTGTGTCCTGGTAAATCCCAGAATATTGTGGTATATTCCTCTATGCTTTATTGTATCCCAGAGCATACCAGTATACCCAAGAATATTCTGGTATATATCTCTTGTTTTTTTAATGTTGCCAGTTTTCATTTATGTTTATATTCTGGAATATACCGCTATATCCTGGAAAGTACCTGAATATACTGGAATATATCGAAAAATCTAGGCATATCCTGGGAGAATCTTGTAAATCAACCTTGGTATATTCAAAATTATCCCATTACACAATGGTCTAGTCTATTACAACAACAACAACAACACACACACACACACACACACACACACACACACACACACACACACACACACACACACACACACACACACACACACACACACACACACACACACACACACACACAGCTCTTCGCCCAACTAGCTATTAAACCAGGGTCGAGAAGCGCTCAAAACTCAAGCCTCTTTCATACGCAGTTTGAATAAGACAGGAATTAGCTGTGTTGCGTGTTCATACAGCAGTTTGGGTCTTCGAAGGCTACTTAATATTCTGCATGTCGATTTGGTGTTGCCCTTTAGGCCTATCGACCTCTGGAGGGTTGTTAAGGCCTAGCAATTTAGTCCAGAACATAGTTCAGGACTGAAGCAAGCTCAGTATATATATATATATATATATATATATATATATATATATATATATATATATATATATATATATATATATATATATATATATATATATATGTCGTACCTAGTAGCCAGAACGCACTTCTCAGCCTACTATGCAAGGCCCGATTTGCCTAATAAGCCAAGTTTTCATGAATTAATTGTTTTTCGACTACCTAACCTAACTTTTTCTGCTACCTAACCTAATCTAACCTATAAAGATAGGTTAGGTTAGGTTAGGTAGGGTTGGTTAGGTTCGGTCATATATCTACGTTAATTTTAACTCCAATAAAAAAAATTGACCTCATACATAATGAAATGGGTAGCTTTATCATTTCATAAGAAAAAAATTAGAGAAAATATATTAATTCAGGAAAACTTGGCTTATTAGGCAAATCGGGCCTTGCATAGTAGGCTGAGAAGTGCGTTCTGGCTACTAGGTACGACATATATATATATATATATATCCTCTTCTCAACATATACTGTGATATTTCTTAATTTATTTCATATTTCATGTAAAACAAAACTTATGATTCCTCTCTTTAAAAAATAGAGTTGAGGAATTTATTCAAGTAAATACCATTTGTTTAAAAAAGCAAAAACAAAAAACATAAAAGTATTTGTTTATTCAGTAAACTTTTGGAGACAGAAATGTGGGATTTTTTCTTGTCAGAGAGAATCTGGAGAGACGAAGTGGAGATTGTCTCAGATTTATTCACGCCAGAAACGCAGTTGGACGGTTTCAGTTCATTCAAAACCTTTCAGGAAAATTCTCCTTTATGTTCTAATTTTTCTTATTAGATTCTTATATTGAAATATGTGTTTTTAATTTTAATTTCGTTTCTAGAGATTATTTTGACAATTTTCTGCGTTTTTTCACAAACGTTATATACATTAGATAGATTTTTTCAGATTTAGTCGTTCAAGTACATTTGAGAAAACGAAATTCTCATACATATACATATATACTTTCTGATTGATCAGTAAGCTTTTGTGTTGTATTAACAACCCTCCAGAGGTTGATAGGCCTCGAGTCAAAGACCAAAACAAACTAAATTTAAAATATATCCTAAAATTTTTCCCCTCCTTGAACGCTGACAAATCTTTCAGATTCGTAAATATATTACCCAAATTACCTAATATTTAGTCCATCCAAACTCCATAGGCTATAAACCTCTTCAAAACATTTCCTTACCCCACAAAAAAAAAAAAGTTTGTTTACGACTACTTGGCTCTTAAAGAACCTTTAGAACAGCTCGCATTCACTCACAAAAGTCCCACACAACCCAAAGCAACAACCTCACAATTGTGAGTTACAGGCCACAATTCCAGCTTATTTCTGGGGAGCAATTTTGTGAGGCGCCTTGGAATTGACAGACAAGGGTTTATACACCCTGACTGATGCGCTGCAATTGTTTGAGTGAACGGGGTATAACAGGTGTTTGAGGGAGTGTGTGAAGGAGAGGGAGAGAGAGGCATTATAGTCCATTCTTTACCACACACTGCCTCTCACGTCTCCAAACTGCCTCATAGACCAAACAAAGGGACGTTGAAACATTCTGGAGTGTTGACCAGACCACACACTAGAAGGTGAAGGGACGACGACGTTTCGGTCCGTCCTGGACCATTCTCAAGTCTATTGTGACTTGAGAATGGTCCAGGACGGACCGAAACGTCGTCGTCCCTTCACCTTCTAGTGTGTGGTCTGGTCAACATACTTTAGCCACGTTATTGTGACTCATCGCCTGCATAACAGTTGATGTTCTACAGGTGGTGACGGGCGTGAAGAGAAGTCTGCCGCCCGCCTCGTCAGTAGGGGCGGCCATGGACGGATCTGTGGGCGGCGCCGACCTGTACGCCCACGGCGCCCCCGCCCCCCCGCCCCCCAAGCTGGCAAGGACACATCCGCCCCCCCTACTGCCCGACCACGGAGGTGAGGGGGATTACTGGGGAGGATTACTAGGGTAAATTTCTAGGGGCTGTTACTGTGGTGGATTAAGGAGAAGTTAACGGGTGATATCATATATATAGGAAGGGGGATTTGCTGAGAGAGGGAGAGAGAGAGAGAGAGAGAGAGAGAGAGAGAGAGAGAGAGAGAGAGAGAGAGAGAGAGAGAGAGAGAGAGAGAGAGACAGAAAGTAAACTATAACCTGGTGCTTCTGTTCACCTGCAGGTGGAGAAGTGTGCTCCTGTCCGCCCTTCGAGTGTACCTGCGGCAAGCTGCTGATGGGCGGGGTTGTGGGCGTGGTGTCGTCGCCAGGGGGCGTGGGGTCGCTGGTGCCCCGCCCACCCCACTACGCCCACACGCCCCTCGACCCATACTTCACCCACATGCAGCACCACCCAGAGGAGGCGAGTCACGGAGTGCGAGCCACCCAACTCTACAGGAGCCCGGCGCCGCCCACAGGGGGATTCCACCCACCACCGCCCCTCAACTGGTCGCCGCCCACCACCCTAACCCCTGAATGGGGCATGGCAGCGCCCGCTGGCTACCGCCCTGACGCCCTGAACGATGGGTGGGGCAGCGCCGCCATGTTGGATCAGGGCGGACCCGGGTTGTGGAGTGAGGTGTCTGCCAGCCTCCCGCCCCACTCCCACAACACTCCTCACAGCTATACCTGCGACTCTGAGCCAATATTCCCCTTCGAGGAAGCCTTCCAGCCGCAAGACATCTTCGCCCTGGAGCAGCCATACAGGAAGAAGGAGGAGTCAGGAGTGGCGGCGCCTGCCATCCCCGAGGCCACAGCACAGAGGTTCCTGCAGTGTATAGACGACATAATTGGTGACTGTTTCCTTGACGATACGGAGCAGCAGCAGCAGCAGCGGTCTCCCCCCACCCTGCTGGACCTTGGTAGCGGGGCGTTAACACAACACCACCACCCATATACCACCCACGCGCCCTCTCTACCGCCCCCACACACGCCCACGCCCGTCTTCTCCACGCCCGCTACGCCCACTCCCGCCCCTACGAGCGGCGCGCCCAGTGCGGGGATAGAGGATTCTCTCCTCCACAACAGACTGCTCTCCCCGAGCCTGCAGCAGCTGCAGCAGCTGGAGGAGGCCACGAGGTCTCCCAGAGTGGACACCTTGTGTCCGGAGACCGGCGCCAGGTTTGCGTACCCTTCACCCGCCGCCGATTACGTCAATTACGCCAATGAAACGAGCGGCTACGCCACCCAGGACTCCTCCACCAATGGCAGCCTGTCGAGCTATGACGTCACGGTGTACACGTCATCATTCTGCGTGTCGCCCAGCCAATCAGAGATGGTCTCGACGCGAGAGGGGAAGAGCGATAATCAGCTGCCAGCGTGTGAGGGGAAGTTAGTGCTGGCATGTCATCAAATGGCGCCCAGCGAGGCTGCCTCTTCCCTCAGCTGAAGCTCTTCACGCGCTCCATACCTGCTATAACTGTCTCCATACCTGCTATAACTGTGCCTCCGGCCACTGTTGCCAGAATAATAACATTCAAACTATTGCAGGCTGTTCAACAGGCCTATTGCTGATGTTTAAACAACTCAGAGCTCGTCAGTTTGTCAGCCTTCACAAGAGTAGTTCTTAGAATACAACCACTTTACACAAACTAAGAGAACAACGACCTGTCACTGTTGGTCTGAGTCTGTTATCGACGTCTAGGGGTCTGAGAGTTCTTACAATGGTTTATTAAAAAGATAATCCTCTTGGATTGTCTTTTTGCCATGTATTGCGTCCAGTACTTCGAAGAATTCTAGTTCTTGGACATTCTTGTGGCACAGACTTGTACTGCGCGAGGCTGGGAACACACTGGTGTTTGTAACAGAGGAACTAATGGTTGGAAGTGAGGTACATGAAGCCTCTGGAGTTTTGAGAAACCAATAGAGGCAGAAAGCTCTTTCGAAATCGAGTGGCCCTCAAGACAGTTCTTCCAGTTCTAAAAACGTTTTCAATATCCAGTAAACCGGTGATTTAGACCCTATTCCAGTCTTTTTCCCGGTTCGAAGTGCCACTGAAACTTTTTAAAATGTTCTCTGGAACCGTGATACAGATGGTTTCATAATCGGTGTAGCTCTCAAGAGTATTTACTGACTGTATCCGGCATCTGACTCACAATAAGTTAAGAGCAGCTTAACTTATGTTTAATGAACGTGTTAGACATGGTGATGGAACACTCTTGAGTCGTTAGGCCCCCAGTGACTTGTCAAGATAGTTAATATCTAAAATTAGGGGTTTTTGCCCCGTGTTACTGAACACTGTCATCTCATGACTGTAGCGTCCACACCATGAACACCTTCACCTCAAAATCAAATCTAGAAATTTGAAAACTTTATATTTCTCCTTTTCTTCAGTTAGGCTTGTGCCTTCTCTCCGCGAGTATTCTTAATTTGAATGTTTAATTTGTGGTACAAAAAGTGGCTCCATGGGGTGGTCGACGCTCTTACAGAACGTGGCTCTTCATCTCAAGTTACAAAGTGCTGAGAGCGTTACAAAGTGCTGAGGGCGTTACAAAGTGCTGAAAGCGTTACAAAGTGCTGAGAGCGTTACAAAGTGCTGAGAGCGTTACAAAGTGCTGAGAGCGTTACAAAGTGCTGAGAGCGTTACAAAGTGCTGAGAGCGTTACAAAGTGCTGAGGGCGTTACAAAGTGCTGAGAGCGTTACAAAGTGCTGAGGGCGTTACAAAGTGCTGAGAGCGTTACAAAGTGCTGAGAGCGTTACAAAGTGCTGAGAGCGTTACAAAGTGCTGAGAGCGTTACAAAGTGCTGAGAGCGTTACAAAGTGCTGAGGGCGTTACAAAGTGCTGAGAATGGCTCCTGCTCTTCTCGTACCGCTCCTCGTTAGGTTGTCTGCAATTCCCGATCTCCAGAAACTATCATTAGTGTTTAAGAAGTTTTATCAAGATTTGTTTTAGGCCATATTGACCCCTTCAGCCGCTGTGAAGTTGCAACGAAACAAAATGTCAAAGTTTGCCCTTAAAACGTCAATATTTTTATTTTCTCCATTTAAAGAAAACATGATATTTGGCGGGAACACAGCGGCTGAAGGCTCCCATATATAGTTAAGTCTGTAGCCTTTAACTCACCACATATCTGCTCATAAGTTAAAGTATTATGAAGATTATTATTTTTTCCAATGCTAGTCAAATTCGTTCGGTCGCATTTCACTGCAAAACTAGTCAAGACGAAAAAAACAAAATGACAAACACATATTCTCTCATTTCTGTGCTTTTCTTCCGGTAATGAGTCTGAAAATGACTTTTTTAAATTATGTTATTAAGATTTATGTATGTGTAGAAGACTGCCAATTACCTTTAAACTAGTGTACAGGAGTCGAGTACCTTTTGTAGGTAAGATAACATACAAAACTACTTGTGTGGAGTGGCTGTTTAATATGGAAATGGAACGTAATCCGTAAATGAAAAAACAAAGATTATGTAATATAGTTATGTGTGACACAGCCTAAAGTATTTCACTACAGTATTGTGCTCTATTTCATTTGCTTGAGAATTTAAAATTGTCTAAATTCACCTATACGTAATTTTTGCTTCATTTAGACATATAATAGGTTATTGTAACATATCCCTAAATATCTTGGTCTACCCAGTTTTAGCCATATTAATTTTAAATCAAACAAGCAAGATTAGGCATAGATTCTCGCAGATAAAGAAAACGGGAGCTAATTTCCGCTCCTGCTATTGGCTGGGATCAGACGAAGCTGATTGGCTCAAGTAAACGCCATGGCCAATCACATCGCAGGGTAACGAGAACATGGGACTATCCTGATTGGCTTACTGAAATATACATCAGAAAATTTACAACTTTTGGCCAATAAGTCAGCGATACCGTTATTCAAAGATTTGTTAAGTCTATACAAGTTATGCCATTGTTGTCCAGATCTTACTATGGTCTTAAACATTAAATTATGCCCAACTGTTGCCTCTCATAATTTGGTTGAAATTTTCACTTATGTTAATTTACTGGTGATGTTAAGTTGACTGATGTTGAAGTTCTACAAATGTTTAATCTCGGTTACATTAAATAATCATTGATGTTAAATTCGTAGCTCTGTTACCATTGATGTTAATTACCAATGTTAAATTTGGCATTGATACAAAATTGTTAACGTTATATTGACTTAAATAACTTAAGGACCAACAAATGTTAAATCACTTATGCTAGATGAGCAGCAAATTGTGTTAAGATGTTAAATATTCGCATGAATGTTAAAACTGAAGCAATGAGATAAAGTGTGTATGTGGAACAGTTAACGAAACTGCCTTGTTAGTAGTTTGAAGTTTATTAAATTAACATTAAAAGACAGAGACTAGTCCACGAGTCAGCGCTTGAAGGATAGCTCACCCTACTGCTCAAGTGCTAGTGTTGAGGTTAATCCACTACCTGAGCGCCAGTTTTAAGTCGTGGTTTACCCACGGTAACTCTCAATGATGACTTATTCCTTAAGTGTAAAATAATCAGTTACTTGAGCGCTCGCTCTGAAAGTTGAGGTTGACCTTGAGGATGTAGGCTTCAAGGTCAAGGCCCTTGAGTGACTCTTCAAGGCCGACTTCATGCCAAACATCGCGAAAAAAGCATAATACTTGATTAATTTCACAAGTGTGACTTAATACTTTATCTCTCAAGTATGACCTCACGCTTAGCCTACCGCTCAAGCGTGACCTAACAGAAAAAATCAAAGTTATCTCATTCACATTCCATTTGTTAACAGTATATTGACCTCAGACTCCAGGTCACCCTCGGAATGCTTCTTCTAATATATGAATAATTATATATTATATATAAATATATATATATATATATGTCGTACCTAGTAGCCAGAACGCACTTCTCAGCCTACTATGCAAGGCCCGATTTGCCTAATAAGCCAAGTTTTCCTGAATTAATACTTTTTCTCTAACTTTTTTCTTATGAAATGATAAAGCTACCCATTTCATTATGTATAAGGTAAAAAAAAATTTTTTGGAGTTAAAATTAACGTAGATATATGACCGAACCTAACCAACCCTACCTAACCTAACCTAACCTATCTTTATAGGTTAGGTTAGGTTAGGTAGCCGAAAAAGTTAGGTTAGGTTAGGTTAGGTAGTCGAAAAAGTTAGGTTAGGTAGTCGAAAAACAATTAATTCATGAAAACTTGGCTTATTAGGCAAATCGGGCGTTGCATAGTAGGCTGAGAAGTGCGTTCTGGCTACTAGGTACGATATATATATATATATATATATATATGTCGTACCTAATAGCCAGAACGCACTTCTCAGCCTACTATTCAAGGCCCGATTTGCCTAATAAGCCAAGTTTTCATGAATTAATGTTTTTTCGTCTACCTAACCTACCTAACCTAACCTAACCTAGCTTTTTTTGGCTACCTAACCTAACCTTACCTATAAATATAGGTTAGGTTAGGTTAGGTAGGGTTGGTTAGGTTCGGTCATATATCTACGTTAATTTTAACTCCAATAAAAAAAAATTGACCTCATACATAGAGAAAAGGGTTGCTTTATCATTTCATAAGAAAAAAATTATAGTAAATATATTAATTCAGGAAAACTTGGCTTATTAGGCAAATCGGGCCTTGAATAGTAGGCTGAGAAGTGAGTTCTGGCTACTAGGTACGACATATATATATATATATATATATATATATATATATATATATATATATATATATATATATATATATATATATATATATATATATATATATATATATATATATATATATATATATATATATATATATATATATATATATATATATATATATATATATATAAATGCACACAATTTTAACTAGCGAAAGTGGCGTTTTGTGGGATTTATCAATAATATATAATTGTTGGTGTTTCAAGTCCAAACAAAAGTCTGGTTCAACTGAGCGTCGATGAAATCCAATGACGAATATTTTTGTTTACAAGTTTCACTAAGGTTGCCAGCGGCGCAGGACCCAACTGGTTCCCACCAGTGTTTCCTCAGTCCGTCCTCATAAACAAAGGCCAAAGTCCATTCCATACACCCGCCGAACCCCTTGTTTATGAATGATAAACACTTTACACACGACTGATGACATCCGAACACTTCCGGAACAAGGGCTTTCCTATCGACTTGTGTTCGAACCACAACGCTGTAAATGCTTCACCCACGTACTACAAATCATCGCCAACAGAACCTAAACACCTAACCTAACCAGTGCCTAAATACGCACAATGTGCCAATATACATTACTAATTTATGAGAAAATCCTTTTTTAAATGAACATTATATTCACGCTATTCTAAAACTAGAATAGCGTCTTTGGGGTCGACCGCTGGATGGAATGGACCTGGTCCGAGGACGTGTTGGATTTCGTCACTTTTGAAAGTTGTTAAGACCGTAATGACCATTATATACGGCCTTGTATACATTATATGACCACTCGTATACATTATATACAGTGTGGAGTACCGAGGTGGTGGGCCATTCTCCTCCCTACATGTATGACCGTTGATACATATGTATACACACACACACGTGTATGTATCCGCTCTCCACGACCTGTTCTTTCCCATATGTTTGTGAGATATATTTAATTATTAATACAACTTGTGTTTGTTTGTCCTCAATGATTACTACACAGGATCAATATAACTACACAGGATCAATATAACTACACAGGATCAATATAACTACACAGGATCAATATAACTACACAGGATCAATATAACTACACAGGATCAATATAACTACACAGGATCAATATAACTACACAGGATCAATATAACTACACAGGATCAATATAACTACACAGGATCAATATAACTACACAGGATCAATATTACTGGCTACACAGGATCAATATTACTGGCTACACAGGATCAATATTACTGGCTACACAGGATCAATATTACTGGCTACACAGGATCAATATTACTGGCTACACAGGATCAATATTACTGGCTACACAGGATCAATATAACTACACAGGATCAATATTACTGGCTACACAGGATCAATATTACTGGCTACACAGGATCAATATTACTGGCTACACAGGATCAATATAACTACACAGGATCAATATTACTGGCTACACAGGTTCAATATACCTAGCTACACAGGATCAATATAACTACACAGGATCAATATAACTACACAGGCTCAATATTACTGGCTACACAGGATCAATATTACTGGCTACACAGGTTCAATATACCTAGCTACACAGGATCAATATTACTGGCTACACAGGATCAATATTAGTGGCTACACAGGATCAATATAACTACACAGGATCAATATAACTACACAGGATCAATATTACTGGCTACACAGGATCAATATACCTAGCTACACAGGATCAATATTACTGGCTACACAGGATCAATATTACTGGCTACACAGGCTCAATATTACTGGCTACACAGGATCAATATTAGTGGCTACACAGGATCAATATTACTGGCTACACAGGATCAATATTAGTGGCTACACAGGATCAATATTAGTGGCTACACAGGATCAATATACCTAGCTACACAGGATCAATATTACTGGCTACACAGGATCAATATTACTGGCTACACAGGATCAATATTACTGGCTACACAGGATCAATATTACTGGCTACACAGGATCAATATTACTGGCTACACAGGATCAATATTACTGGCTACACAGGATCAATATTAGTGGCTACACAGGATCAATATTAGTGGCTACACAGGATCAATATACCTAGCTACACAGGATCAATATTACTGGCTACACAGGCTCAATATTACTGGCTACACAGGATCAATATTACTGGCTACACAGGATCAATATTACTGGCTACACAGGATCAATATAACTACACAGGATCAATATAACTACACAGGATCAATATAACTAACTACACAGGATCAATATAACTACACAGGATCAATATAACTGGCTACACAGGATCAATATAACTACACAGGATCAATATAACTAGCTACACAGGATCAATATAACTAGCTACACAGGATCAATATTACTGGCTACACAGGATCAATATTACTGGCCACACAGGATCAATATTACTGGCTATACAGGATCAATATTACTGGCTACACAGGATCAATATACCTAGCTACACAGGATCAATATAACTACACAGGATCAATATAACTACACAGGATCAATATAACTACACAGGATCAATATAACTACACAGGATCAATATAACTACACAGGATCAATATAACTACACAGGATCAATATAACTAGCTACACAGGATCAATATAACTAGCTACACAGGATCAATATAACTAGCTACACAGGATCAATATTACTGGCTACACAGGATCAATATTACTGGCCACACAGGATCAATATTACTGGCTATACAGGATCAATATTACTGGCTACACAGGATCAATATAACTACACAGGATCAATATAACTACACAGGATCAATATAACTACACAGGATCAATATAACTACACAGGATCAATATAACTACACAGGATCAATATAACTACACAGGATCAATATAACTACACAGGATCAATATAACTACACAGGATCAATATAACTAGCTACACAGGATCAATATAACTAGCTACACAGGATCAATATAACTAGCTACACAGGATCAATATAACTAGCTACACAGGATCAATATAACTAGCTACACAGGATCAATATAACTACACAGGATTAATATAACTAACTACACAGGATCAATATAACTACACAGGATCAATATAACTAACTACACAGGATCAATGGTTGGTGTGCTTCACTATACAGTTAGAGGCTCTGGATGGCAGTGTGGTATGGGCACCACAACAGCCTGGTTGGTCAGGTATTCTTCAGGAACTTGAGTGTTCACACACACTCAAGACCTTTATACAGTCAAGCATCACAACATTTCTTCAGTTGTTACCTGAACTCAAATGAATGGTCCAGGAGGTCGCTCCATCAGAGTCGCCACGCACACATACAGGGGCCGGTGGCTGAGTGGACAGCCCGCTGGACGCCTGATCCTGTGGTCCGGGGCTCGATTTCCGGCGCCTGGAGGCCTGATGGAGGACCGGGCCGTGGGGACGCTAAGCCCCGAAATCATCTCCACTCCAAAACTCCACCACTTGGAGGGATTCGAACCCAGACAGCCAGGAGCACTATGCACCTTCGCGTACCTGGCACCTTTGTGTTACTCACTGTATACCTGGTTGATGGGGTTCTGGGAGTTGTTCTACTGCCCAAGCCCGGCCCGAGGCCAGGCTTGACTTGTGAGAGTTTGGTCCACCAGGCTGTTGCTTGGAGCAGCCCGCAGGCCCACATATACCTGGTTGATGGGGTTCTGGGAGTTGTTCTACTGCCCAAGCCCGGCCCGAGGCCAGGCTTGACTTGTGAGAGTTTGGTCCACCAGGCTGTTGCTTGGAGCGGGCCGCAGGCCCACATACCCACCACAGCCCGGTTGGTCCGGCACTCCTTGGAGGAAACTATCCAGTTTCCTCTTGAAGATGTCCACGGTTGTTCCTGTAATATTTCTTATAGTCGCTGGGAGGACGTTGAACAACCGCGGACCTCTGATGTTTATAGTGTGTTCTCTGATTGTGCCTATGGCACCTCTGCTCTTCACTGGTTCTATTCTGCATTTTCTTCCATATCGTTCACTCCAGTACGTTGTTATTTTACTGTGTAGATTTGGTACTTGGCCCACCAGTATCTTCCAGGTGTATATTATTTGGTATCTCTCTCGTCTCCTTTCTAGTGAGTACATTTGGAGAGCTTTGAGACGATCCCAATAATTTAGGTGCTTTATCTCGTCTATGCGTGCCGTATATGTTCTCTGTATTCCCTCTATTTCAGCAATCTCTCCTGCTCTGAAGGGGGAAGTGAGTACTGAGCAGTACTCAAGACGGGACAACACAAGTGACTTGAAGAGTACAACCATTGTGATGGGATCTCTGGACTTGAAAGTTCTCGTAATCCATCCGATCATTTTTCTGGCTGTCGCAATATTTGCTTGGGGACAGATTCACGAAGCAGTTACTCAAGCACTTACGAACGTGTACATCTTTCCTCAATCTTTGACGGCTTTGGTTACATTTATTAAACAGTTTACAAGCATGAAAACTTGCCAATCAACTGTTGTTATTGTTATAAACAGCCTCCTGGTGCTTCGGAGCTCATTAACTGTTTAATAATTGTAAACAAAGCCGCCAAAGATTGAGAAAAGATGGACAGGTTCGTATGTGCTTGCGTAAGTTCTTTTGTGAATCTGGCCCCTGGTTATGCTCCCTAAACGTTAGGTCGTCGGACATCATTACACGTGGCCCCACAAAGTGAGGTGATTCGATGAAATAAATATGCCCAAGCTTACCACCAAGTGCCGTCGGGACGTTGGGGATATAGCCTCGGCTACCAATGACTTTTGTACAGTCACAGTTGGTAGAGTGGTTAAGGTACCGGGTACGACAGTCGCATAGTGCTCCTGGCTGTCTGGGTGCGAGTCACTTCTGGGGTGTGGAGTTTTCAGTTTCATATTGGCTTGGGGACCATTGAAGCTTGTTCGCATTATATATATATAAAATATATATACATTATATATATATATATATATATATATATATATATATATATATATATATATATATATATATATATATATATAATAGGGCAACCCGTTCTCGCAAATTTAATAAGTCAATATTGACTTACTAAATATGTGCATAGGTGACATACTTAACATAATAGTTTCCCTTGAAAAGCTTCATAGAAAACACCGACCTTACCTAACCTACTTAGTATGTTAAGATAAGCATCTTATTGCTTCGTAATTACAATTATTACCTAACCTATACCTATAATAGGTTAAGTAACAATTGTAATTACGAAGCTATAAGATACTTATTTTAACATACTAAGTAGGTTAGGTAAGGTCGGTGTTTTCTATGAAGCTTTTCAAGGGAAACTATTATGTTTAGTATGTCACCTATGCACGCAACTAATAAGTCAATATTGACTTATTAAATTTGCGAGAACGGGTTGAATAGGGAAGGGAGTACCACCTCTGGCTGGAAGAAGGGGGACCCATAGCCTCGGAGGAAACCACACATAACGCATTGAAGGGAATGTAGGTCCCCTCCAATACAGTTTCTGTGTGCTTTTCTCCTACCACCCCCTTCCCTTTTTTTTTTCCTTTATTGTGTATTTAAAGGTTACAAAACATACAAGACAAATGCCTAAAGGTTATGGATCTCTTGAAGCTCCTCCGCTTCTGGACAGGAACCGAGGACGCAGCAAGCATTTCCCCTCTGGATCGCCACACTCAGACGCTGAAATAAAAAACTGGAAGCCCTCACTATATATATATATATATATATATATATATATATATATATATATAAATAATAGGGGTACCATCTCTGGTGCAATTGAAGCGACCCACATCCTCAAAGAAGAAAATAGAGTATTTATTTTTTTTTTTATTCATAGAAGACCTTGTGGATTCTCACTCCACACCCCAGAAGTGACTCGAACCCATACTGCCAGGAGCACTATGCAACTGGTGTACCTGGTACCTTAACCACTCGACCATTACGACCGGACATATATGCCTACCATACCAGTGTGGAGCGGCAGGACTCCTCTTGATGACACCTTTTGTCTTCAAGCATTATTCTCCCATTTCTTAAGAGGCAAGACCATAGAGTAATGTGCAGAACAAAGTTACAACAAGGACCCCGCTCCTACCCGCCCACCTTCTACATGGCGGCCATATTGGGCTGCCAGTGGAGGGTTAGGTTACATGGCGGCCATATTGGGCTGCCAGTGGAGGGTTAGGTTACATGGCGGCCATATTGGGCTGTCAATGCACCGACAAAGAAGTTCTAGCAACAAAATCTCCCTCCCCCCCGCTGGAAATAAATCGGTTCATCCATAATTCTTCTCTTGGCACTTGTCTTGAACCCCTCAAACCTTTGCCTTACCATGATACTACTCTCCTCCCCAAAGGGTTCTGTGGTGGGGTCAAGCTACATCAACACGAAGTCTATGCAAAAGGCAGTTGTCAATAGAAGAATTAAAGCCAATACTGAATCCCTAACATGAGGAGCTTACCCCAGCAAAGAGGGGATACTTCTCCTACAGAAATTCAACATTATTAGTCTATATTTTCTCTGAGACAATATGATTGGGCCTGTTTACAATATTTGGGGTGTGTTGATAAGGGTGAGAAGAAGGCCTATAGTGTCGTTCAACCCCAACCAACAGGGGCCTCGTAGCCTGGTGGATAGCGCGCAGGACTCGTAATTCTGTGGCGCGGGTTCGATTCCCGCACGAGGCAGAAACAAATGGGCAAAGTTTCTTTCACCCTGAATGCCCCTGTTACCTAGCAGTAAATAGGTACCTGGGAGTTAGTCAGCTGTCACGGGCTGCTTCCTGGGGGTGGAGGCCTGGTCGAGGACCGGGCCGCGGGGACACTAAAGCCCCGAAATCATCTCAAGATAACCCTAACGTAATCTAGCATGGTCCCGGACAGGAGCTAACGTAACCTTGCAAGGTCCTGGACAGGAGCTAAGGTAATCTAGCAAGGTCCTGGACAGGAGCTAAGGTAATCTAGCAAGGTCCTGGACAGGAGCTAATGTAATCTAGCAAGGTCCCGGACAGGAGCTAACGTAATCTAGCAAGGTCCTGGACACCAACTCACAAGCAGCAGTACCAGGACTGCCTCACCTTACATATAAACAATTAAAATATAACAAAAAAGGTAGACATCAATAAAAGGGGCAAAAGTACTTTAATCATTTATTCATCTCGGTACTCATGAAAAAGCGTAATGAAAATTTATCAATACTACTCTGTACACAACACGATCCTTACCTCTCACACTCCAGACACAAGGATCACTGGATCACGGACTACTACGGGTGCTGGAAAGTCTCAGGGTTGAGAGCCAGACGTACGAGGCGGCGGCGGCGCTTCTTCGCGGTTAAGTTGGCGATTTAATACCTTAACTCTTTCAGGATAAGTTGTTGGCCCTTACTACCATAATTATATCCAATTATTGCACATATGGTCATCAGTCTTAGGCACTTTAGTAATTCATTATTTTAAAATAATTTTATTTACTAAAACATAAAACTACACTTTTATTCATTCCATTCAGATGCCCAAGCTTATGCAAACAATATATCCTTTACTGGAAATGAGAAATGGGATCCACCATAAACCAATTAAGCTAAATTATGAACAGTAATGAAATGATGATCATTTCAAGCAAATTTCTCCTTCAATGTTAGGAGAGCTTGAGTGAGATTTAGAAAGTTATTAAACGCCCCTCCGCGTACGTGTTGACAGGCTGCCCCCTTTCCTCGTCATCTTCTGCTGGGGAAACCTATTCAAAGGGAACCCACAGCGCGAGGGTGTATATGAAATGCATAGTTTGCCTCGACAACTTGATAACATTCAAAAACAAAATTTACCTATTGACAAAAGGTATCTAAGGCTAGTTCTGGTTACCTCCGAGGCCAACCGAAAATATGATGAACCAAAAGCTACGGTGATGAACTGAACATTGTTTTATTAGGCAATACTAATTCATTTGGGTTGGCCCCAGGGGCCCTCAGTGTGCTGTGAAGGTTCTCAGACAGGTGTTCTAAATATAATCCCCGGATATCTTGAGAGCCTGGTACATCTATCTACTCTCCGACTACCAGAGTCGGATCATGTCTGCCACACACCCGTAAGAAGTCATGTACATATGACAATCACACCTGCCATGTACAAGTGACATCATACAATAAAATACAGTCATTTCCTCCACACCTGCAGGTAGTGCGCCACTCTACACCTGCAGGTAGTGCGCCACTCTACACCTGCAGGTAGTGCGCCACTCTACACCTGCAGGTAGTGCGCCACTCTACACCTGCAGGTAGTGCGCCACTCTACACCTGCAGGTAGTGCGCCACTCTACACCTGCAGGTAGTGCGCCACTCTACACCTGCAGGTAGTGCGCCACTCTACACACACACGTACACACACACTCGACACACTGTGGAAATGTGTTACAAATATATATATACCGTATGTGCATATATATATATAATATATATATAAGTGTATATTAGTATGTATACTATATATAGGTACTATTTACAGACCACCAAACTATCAGACCGATGGTACATTAACTGTGTTCAATACACCCATGCTACCGAAATTGAAAATCTTCAAATATCAAATTAAAAATATCAAACTAATGCATATAAAGGTTTATACAATATCATCAACTCTACCTTTTAATAATTAGCAAATACTGAATAACTTTTGGTTAAAAACTTAATCTTAAATTTTTTGTGTTTTTTAACATGGTAAGAAACAGTTCTTAAACTCGCTACATTAGAGCACAAGTTGCTGCACTCTCCGTGCCCAAAAGGATCGGGTCACGCTGACAGTTCTTAAACTCGCTACATTAGAGCACAAGTTGCTGCACTCTCCGTGCCCAAAAGCATCGTAAGAAACAGTTCTTAAACCCGCTACATTAGAGCACAAGTTGCTGCACTCTCCGTGCCCAAAAGGATCGGGTCACGCTGAGAGAGAGCAACAGATTGCGCAGGTTGACCGTCATGCAAAAAATGTTGATGTAACAAACTTTATATATCTGCAACTTGTACGGGATTAACCCTTAAATTACTTCAACCGCTTTCCGAGATTACTTTCTGCGTTCAAATCCCAGAATACCATCTGCTTTAATCAAATTTGTCAAGTTTTTTTTTTGAGATGTGCAACACAATGTAAGACTTTAAATAGCTTAGCAGTTTAAGGGTTAAGACTTAAGTTAGTGTACAGTGGCAATGAGAATAGTATTCGTAGAGAACCGTACATTAGTTAAATTAAGAAAATTACAAATTATATACTGCATGCCTACGGGTTTAATGGTCAAGCTAAAAAAACTAATTGATAAGCAACAAGAACGAACCAAATACATTATCTAATTTTCACATATATGCTGTAACCTAATAGGGCAAAACAGTCTCAATATTAAAAAGAAAAAATTATTTTGCAAAATTCTGTAAAGTTTTAGTTACCCCTTCACCTCTTGTACAAACATTGTGCCGTCACGGTAACTTGTATACAAAACCAGTTGGGTTGGTGATGATGATGATGGTGATGAGATACTCACTATCTAGAGCGTCAGTCCCACCCAGAGTAGGAGCTTAAATGTCAGTGGGATAAGATAGGGAATTATTAATGTATCAGAAATATACAAAAATGCCCTCAGTGGTCTTCTTTCTCAGTGCTTTTGACGGCGAGAGATCTTGGAGATGTCACCAGTTCCAGACCCACGAAAGGAAGACAGTTCTCCCTGACTAGGAGATGTCACCAGTTCCAGAACCACGAAAGGAAGTCCGTTCTCCCTAACTAGGAGATGCAACAACTACGGAACTTGGACTGCGTCTTTGATCCTCCTGGGCGCACAGGTGCCGCTGAAATAAAAGAATGACAACTCGTGAAAACTTGAAGGACTACATAATTCATTAACTGTAAAAAGTGTTATTAAAACATACATTAATAAGTGTACATGTCAAGGGACAGCCTCCTTACAGCCATCGTTAAAGAGGTTGGTTTTGTAATGGCTATACAATAATTAACTGCTTTTCAACTTTACAACTACCACCAAAATACAACTAAAGTTAACTCGATCTATCCACAATAAACTAAATTAGTTACCAATTTGGCGTGAAATTAGAGTGACATCACTCGTCCCTCACAATGATAGTCAGGAGAAAGCGACAAGGTATCATGTCAATATAGCACTTGGAAAGAATTTGAGGATAAGGATTTGGGATATCTAGAGAGTTGTTGTTTTAGATTCAGCTACCTGGAACAAAAAGTTCCAAGTAGCACGGGCTATGGTGAGCCCGCAGTGGACTTACCTGGCACAGGAGCGGGGCTGTAACTGTGACTTGAAGACGGTCTCTGAAGTTGTTCTACTCCTCCAGCCCAACCCGAGGCCAGGCTCGACCTGAGGATGGGGGGAAAAGGAATGGTGCCCAACCACTTGGACGGTCAATGATCGGACGCCGACCTGCATGAAGCGAGACCGTCGCTCTACCGTCCACCTCAAGTGCAATTTGATAGGCGGACTGCCGACAAGATGGCACAACATAAACAGTAAGCAAGATCAGGCTTACTGGATAACGTTTACCTCTAGTGAAAGTCTCAAGACTTTATGAAGCTGTCATCCAAGATGGACACCCTCCAAGAAAGTCTTTCTGCCGTCTAAGTCTCACTACCCGGACCATTAATCTCAAGTCTGGTCAAATAATCTGTGACTTCAACACAGCTTCCTAACTATTACATCTAGTATTATGAAGATGTTATGTTTACAAAATTCTTGTATACAGAACAGAAAATGGGAATGTCACGTAGATGTTGTCCTGTCATTAATGGGGCACTAAAATGTTAACTTACTCATGATCACAGAAAACGGATCTCTTATTACATGATTATAGAAACTGGGATGCTAATCTGCGTGCTACTGACCATAGAAAATGGCGTATTATAACTTATTAAACGGTGACTTAGGAGGTGCAAGCTACAGCTGCTATAGACATGTATCACAGTCCACCTGAGTGTTCACATGTCAGACTATATACTTGGAATATATCTAAAATAGAGAGCCGGTCGGCCGAGTGGACAGCACACTGGACTTGTGATCCTGTGGTCCAGGGTTCGATCCCAGGCGCCGGCGAAAAACAATGGGCAGTTTCTTTCACCCTATGCTCACCAGTGATGAGGTCGAAAGGTGTCTGCTGGAGCTGGATGTGACAAAGGCTGTTGGGCCTGACAGAATCTCACCATGGATACTAAAGGAAGGTGCAGAGGCACTAAGTGTGCCACTCTCTATGGTGTATAACAGGTCACTGGAAACAGGAGACCTAACGGAAAGCTGGAAGACAGTCAATGTGGTCCCAATATACAAAAAGGGTGACAGGCAAGAGGCACTGAACTACAGGCCAGTGTCCTTGACTTGAATACCATGCAAGGTGATGGAGAAGATCGTGAGGAAAAGGCTCGTAGAGCATCTGGAGGGAAATAGCTTTGTAACACACCACCAACATGGGTTCAGAGATGGTAAATCATGCCTCACAGGTTTAATAGCTATGGCTATTTAATAGCTTGGCTATGACCAAGCAACACAAATTAGGCAAGAAAGAGAAGGGGTGAGCAGACTGCATTTTCTTGGACTATCAGAAAGCCTTCGACACAGTACCCCATAAAAGGCTGTTACAAAAGTTGGAGCAACAGGCAGGAGTAAAAGGGAAGGTGCTCCAGTGGATAAGGGAGTACTTAAGCAACAGGAAACAGCGAGTAACGGTGAGGGGAGACATCAGAGTGGCGAGATGTCACCAGCGGAGTCCCACAGGGCTCAGTACTTGCACCCATCCTGTTTCTAATATATGTAAACGATCTTCCAGAGGGCATAGACTCAGTCCTTTCAATCTTTGCTGATGATGCAAAAATTATGAGATGAATCAAGACAGATGAAGATAGACAAGAGACTACAGGATGACCTGAATAAACTGTAAAAATGGTCTAGAAAATGCTAATTAAAGTTCAACATAGGAAAGTGTAAAGTAATGAAATTAGGCGAAGGGAGCAGGAGGCTGAACACAAGGTACCATCTTGACTCCTGCAAGAGTCAAATGGAGAGAAAGATCTGGGGGTTGATATCACACCAAACCTGTCCCCAGAGGCCCACATCAAAAGAATATCATCAGCGGCATATGCTAGACTGGCCAATATAAGAACTGACTTTAGAAACTTGTGTAAGG